CCAAAGGGTCTATGTAGGTATATAGGATATACTTGGGCCTTAAAGTAGGTATATGGGAACCCCTTTGGGCCCTAAGTATATACCATATACCTACATGGACCCTTTGGGTAGGGTTTAGGGTTCAGGGTGTCCAGTCCCCCCCTCTCTATGCTCGCGAAGAGATGCTGTCATCATGGCAGGAAGCGGAAGACGTGGTGATGAAGAAGCCAGCTGCAAAGGCCTAAACCCTAAACCCTATGACCCTGAACCAGTTATTGGTAGTTACTAAGTCCCATGGGAATCCAAGTGCTGCGTAGCACTAGGACGGACTGTCGGATCCCTGTTATAATACGGCACCTAGTAATTAGCGTACCCCAAACAGGGATCATAATTTTTCACAACCACCCATTTGCTAGGTCCCCCTTTTTTGGGGTTAGGATCTCCTTTGAAGCGATTGTATTGCCAATGGCACCTGCTTTAAAAGACCTTTTTGAAGACCCCCCTCTATCTCCCCTAGACTCTAAAAACCGAAGCCCTAAACCCCGAACCCTAAACCCTAAACCCTGAGCCCTAAAACCCCGAACCCTAAACCCTGAGCCCTAAACCTCGAAACCGCGGCTTGAGTCTGCCGCTCCGGGAACCTTGCGAGCGAGCATTAAACTCCTTTTTTAAAGGCGGCCTCCATGGCCGTTTGCAACGAGATTCACTACCTGGAACCCTGAGGTTTGAAAGTTTAAGGTTTAGGGGTTAGCAATCTACTTGGAACCCCAAAGCATATAGAATGTCAGCATCTATGTGCATGTGTATAAATATGTATATATGTATGTGTATACATATATATATATACGTATATATATATATATACAGATATTTACGCCTTTTGTTGGGGTGGTGGTGTTGTCCTTGGACCTGTTGTTTTACTTGTTTTCAAGGTCCAGGTAGAAGTGACGGTTTAGGGTGCAGGGTTTAGCTTGTGTACTGCCCCCTCCGGATATACAGTATATAGCCCTTAACAGGACCCCTAATCTGATATGGGCTGTTACTGGGTGGGGGCATTACCCAAGGCTTAGCATTATTACGACATAAACAACACCTATTTTGGGCCATGAGAACGTATCGACCCTTAAACCTCTAAACCTTCAAATCCCTCAAACCTTCGAAACCCTTGAACCCTTAAACCTTGCGAACCCGAATTCCTCAAACCTACAGGCTTCCCAGGTACGCTTTTTGGAGCCTGACGGAATATGTAACTGTAAGGGATGCAAGCTTTCCGAGCACTGGCAGGAAGATCGATCTTGAAAGATCGCTCCGAGAAGCATCACTCACCGGAATGAATCCCAGGAAAAGGGTGCGTGGGAAGCGAAGCGCGTCGAAGAAACCAGCTGTCAGTACTGATTGCTCGGTGGGCTCCTGTGACGAACCAGGGGAGGATTTTAGGGTTTAAGGGTTATAGGGTTTAGGGTTTACAGTTATTTAGGGTTTAGGGTTTAGGAAGAAAGGGTAATAATGCCATTGCAGACCATGACAGCGCATTCAGGTTGATAGTCAAGGCTGAGCTGGACACCTACCGGAAGATGAATCTCAGAGCTCTTGATCATGTGTACAGAAGCAGGAAAACGGGGAGTTACGACGGCGTCCAGGACAATGGAGAAGGGGAGGACAAGAATGAGGACGCCCGCTCCAACTAGCCAAGGATTTTAGGCGATTGGGACTTCAGATCTGCAGCTAAACTCTTCGCTGCCCACACAATTTCAGCCACGGATCCGCTAAATCCCAAACCTTAAACCCTACCTATGATTCCACTCGCCTGGAAAATTAGTAGTACTTTCCCCTGAATTAGTAGGGGTAGCCTGTACAGCTGTATTCATGGGGTTACAGGTAAATCCTTATCCCAAACCCTGGGACAATTAATGGGAGTTCCTCGAAGTAGCGTGAAACAAAGGGGACCACATGGGGATGAAATATGGGGTTCCCTAATAGTGGTTTAGGGTTCAGGGTTTAGGGTTTAGGGGTTTAGGGTTTAGGGTAGTGGCTGTCTGGGGATAACTTGGAATCCGAAGTCTGTAGTGTTTAAGCTTTAGTTATTGCAGTGTAGTTTCGAAGGCTTAGGTTTTAAAGTTTGGGGTTTAGGGTTTCTCTAAAGTCCTTCTCCGGAAGCCCGAAGCCCGGGCATCAATTTCTACAACTCATATCTATGGACTTTGGGCTTTAGAGTCGAAAGCTGTACCCGCTTTGTGCTTTAGAGGGCACAATTGTACTTACTTGGGGCTCTTAGAGTAAATATACAGGCAGCGCTTAGAGCTTTCGAGTCCATAAGTTGTATACCTACTTAGGGCTTTAGGGCCCATAAGCCATACTTACTTCGTCGATAAACAGTGCCTCCTCTAGGGTTATGTGGAGCCCTAGGGTAAGTAAACCCTAAACCCTATAATCCCTAAACCCTGAACCCTAAACCCTAAACCCTATAAACCCTATAAACCCTAAACCCTGAACCCTAAGCTCTAAACCCTAAACCCTAATGCGGCAGGCTGCGCCAAAGGCGACGGCTAAGGCGGCAGGCAAGGCAAAAGCCAAAGCAAAGGCAGTCGCGAAGGCAGAGGTTTGGGGGGTTTAGGGGTACGGTTTAGGGGTACGGTGGATACTGCAAATCCGAGCTTGTAGGGATTCTAGAATGGGGTATGGGGGTTGTATAGGGATGTTTAGGAGTTATAGGGTTTAGGGGGCATACTGAAAGTCCTGCATGACCCTAAGTACCTTCCACCGTGGGAAGATCTTGTGTTGCACTATAAGACTGCCTATAAAGCCCTCTTTGAGGGGCTTAGACTATAACCCATATACTTTGTGATTCTATGCTCGTAGTCGTCATAATCAAGCTTGGACTCAGGTTCAGAGGGGAGCAGAAGTTCGCTTGGGCGAATTACTTACTAAGACCCTCCAACCCAACTTGCAGTAGAGTTTAGGGTTTGGGCTTTAGAGTTAAGAGTTTAGGGGTTAAGGTTTGGGGGTTTAGGGCGCAGGGTGTAGGCGAGTACCCGCATTTCTGCACAAGCCCATGTAGGTTGGGGGAGTATGATAGCCGCGTACTGTTGACCATTCCAGTACCCAAACAACCCCCCGCCAAACTTCCCCTAAACTCTAGACCTTAAACCCTATTCCCCTAATCTAGAAAGGTTTCTTGTTTGGTGGTATCTATTGCGATGGGATGGGGTCTTGTCACTAGGGGAGGCCACTCACGTCACCTAGCCTCACCTCGCGCAGTAGCTCATGTTGGTCAGGTTTTACTATGGTTTCATGATAAGGGCCCCCCCCCCCTCCCCAAAAAAAAAATTAAACCTTAAACCGCAGTATATGGTAGTTTCCCAAAATAGGGGGACCCCAACCCCAATATAGACCCCAAAATACTATAGTCCTTATTATTGGGACCCCCAAAATGGGACCCCTAATTTTGGGAAACCCTACACCCTAAACCCTATACTATATAACCCTTACAGAACCCTATATGAACCCTATTAACCCCCAAAAAGGGACCCTTAATTTTGGGAAACCCCCATATGTAGTTTATTGGCCAGGTTGGAGACGACAAGTAGGAACTCCTTGTCAACTAGGTTCGTTATCACAGGGTTCAGGGTTCGGGGTTTGGGGTTTAGGGTTTAGGGTTTAGAGTTTAGGGTTTAGGGTTTAGGGTTCAGGGTTCGGGGTTTGGGGTTTGGGGTTTAGGGTTTAGAGTTTAGGGTTTAGGGTTCAGGGTTCGGGGTTTGGGGTAAGTTTAGGGTTCCGGCGGTTAGGGGCCAGGGCTTTGGCAACCCAAACCCTTAGCACAAGGTTCTTGTAATCGTCGTATTGTGGGCTTTTGTGTAAACTCCTTAGAGGGGATTATACAAGGGATTACATAGAGGAGCATTATAGGTTTATTAAGCGGGAGGCTAGGAGTTTAGACTATAGGTCATTTGAGGTAGGATTCGAGTTTAGGGTGTAAGATGAGGGTCTACCAGGTTCCCTCGAAATATTGGTGAGTGTATATGGGGTGTCCATCAGGGAAGACACCCAGCATGGAGCTTCAGGTGGATTTAGTAAGTGGATTGGGGTCACTACGGAGTTTTCGGACTGGGTACCGCCCCCACTCAGCAACAGTTGGATAACATCTACGCACATATATACACTCTATGATAGAATTTTATATACCCTTTCATAACTCTATTGTAGAGTATTAGTTTAGGGTTCATGGTCTAGAGCTTTGGGTTTCAGTGCAAAGGAAGATGCTCAATCTCCTTTTGCTTGTGGCTTTCCTGAACCCTAAACCCTAAGAGCTTTCTAACGCGGTTTTGGGTTTAGGGTTTAGCCTAAATGCCTAGGAAGACATATCTGATCTGACCTGGTTCAACCACCCTAAACCCTAAACCCTAAAACTTAAACCCTTAACCATATAGACATACCTAAGAGACCTTTGAAGGCACCTAAGGCTCTCCCTTCTTTGCCAGCTTAACTTTCTCAAGGCCAAAGAGGAGGAAGAAGAGGAAGAGCAAGACGCTGAAGAAGAAGAGGAGGATGATGAAGAGGAGGAAGAAGAGGTTGGTGTGGGATTTTGGGTTTAGGGTTTTGGGCCTTTTAAAGGGCATATAGGGGCTAGATAGATATTCTTGGGCCTTTTAAAGGGAATGTAGGGTTAGATAGAAGAATAGAGGGTTTGGGGAGTGTAGGGGTTGAAGAGGTTGGGTTGGGATTGCGGGGTTCGGGTTTAGTGTGTGGGGTTTTGGGGCCTGGGGTTTAGGATGGGCGCAGGGTTTAGGGATTTAGGGTTGTATAGGGTTCTACAATGGAAGATCAAATGGATATTGAAGCCGGAATGTACGATTAGCGTAATCATTAATGTTAGGGGTTTGGGGTTGACTTTAGCACATTCTTTATAGCCCAAAGGGTCCATGTAGGTATATGGTATATACTTAGGGCGCAAAGGGGTTCCCATATACCTACTTTAAGACCCAAGTATATCCTATATACCTACATAGACCCTTTGGGTAGGCTAGGTTCAGGGCTTAGGATTCTCTATGAAGCCAGGTGAAGCATGGCACCAGAAGGGTGGGGGTTTGGGTATGTAGGTACTCCTTGGGTAGATAATGAAGAAATCCTGCATGACCCTACGTACCTTCTACCTTGGGAATTACAGTATTGTAGTATGCTAAGGCCATGCAAGATTTTTTAGTACCAAAAGTCCCCTAGCAAATGTAAGTGAGCCAAAGCAGTACTTCGAGACTCAGGGGCTTTGGAAGCATGCGGAAAGTCCTACTTATAAGCCATGTCATAAGGCCCTATGTACATATGTTGTGTTTGCCAACCTCTTTGTGAGCTCCATAAACGGTAAGGGCAACCCTAAACACCCTGACACCGTAAGCCTTGAGATCCTGAGACTCCTGCGAACTCCAAACCGTGGCAATTACCAATTCTAATTTCAGATCCACCTGAGGCACCCTTTACCAGCAAGTATCCAAGAAGTCTAGGACCATACCATGAGTAATTGTTGGGGCTTTTACGGTTTTGATTCGGGGCTTTAGGTTTTTCATTTACTGTTCAGTTGTACACTTCTCCTCCGGTACAGGAAAAATAGTAAACTCTGTTCTAATCCTAAACCCTAAACCCGAACCCTCAAAATCAACCCAGATGGTAGTTCATATGTTAAAATCGTCCCAAAATTACCCGGTAGTCAGCTAGAGAACCTATGCACCCAAAAACCTGAATCCCGAAAAGTATGCGACAGATGCAAGAGGCCCAAATTTCTCCCGCGCGCGAAAGATACCTTTCAACCCTAAATCCCCAACCCTAAACCCAGAACCCTGAACCTTTACCACCGACTCCAACTTGCGCTTGATTCTGGGTAGTTAAATGCAGACCCCAAGTGAGTAACCCCCCTCCTTTTAAGGGCCTTAACGTACTGGTGATTGGTACAGAAGAAGGGAATATAGTTGCTACAGAATCCCCCTATTCCCTTCTAACACCCAGTAACTTAACATGAGGATCCCTATTATAATCCCCTTTCAAGGCAGAGGGGTTTACTCATTGGTCTGCATTACCCCGGTAAAGGGTTTACTCCTCCCCCAGCAGAAAAAACAAGGAACCTGAAAAATGGTCCCTTGAAGCTTGCTGTCCTAACAAGCAGGCTTGTGCGCGGTTCCATGTTGATTTTGGGAGTGTACTTGGAGGGGGGGCATGTTTCTCATAACCGAACTATAGTTGTCACTATAACCCAACTAGAAGTCCCCTAAGTCCCCTAAGTAGGATTAAAGTTTGGCTGCAGTTACAACCTTAAACCCTAAACCCTACACCCTACACCCCAAACCCCCAAACCCCTAAACCCCTAAACCCAAAAAGTAGGTAACAGGTAGCACGCCGCCCTTCCAAGCAAGGTTCTGCAGGTAGGGTTTGCGAACTGAATGAGCGGCATCGCTATGACACCCCAAACCCTGACCCCTAAACCCTAAACCCTGCAGGCGTAAAAGTCCGCCGGCTTCAAAAAAAACCTAAACCCTAAACCCTATGCATCAACCGGACCAGTCGGGCCACCAGTCACTGGGGTTTAGGGTTTAGGGCCTCGCCTCTCCATTGAAAGTCTAACTTCTTTCCGTTTTGGGGTTCAACTAGCCTATGACTTTGGCTTAAAACCTAAACCCTCCTAAACCTTGAACCCTAAACCTTAAACCCTAAACTCTAAACCCTAAGCTTTAAACCCTAAACCTTTTGGGCTTAAGTCCTCAGGAAGATGAGGAGGAGGAGGAAGAAGAAGCCGAAGAAGAGGATGAGGTATCGTGCGGAGAGCAGCTTTAGCCCTCCATACCCGGGTTTAGGGTTTAGGTTTGAGGGTTTAGGATTTAGGGTTTAGGATTTAGGGTTTAGGATTTAGGGTTTAGGGTTTAGGATTTAGGGTTTAGGGTTTATAGGATTTATGGTATAGAGT